GATACGAGCATCTGCACGTCAGAGGGGCCAGGTGACACGACCATGTTTATAGCATAGCAGGCAGGTATCACAACCATGTGCACGTCAAAGATGGCACGTGACACAACAATATGCACATCAAAGAGAGCTGGTGATATGAAAATGTGCACGTAAGAGAGGGCAGGTGGAACGACCATATGCACATCAGAGAGGGCTGGTGACACAACCATCTGCACATCAGAGGGAGCAGGTGACATGACCCACTTTATGGTAGAGAGGGCAGGTGACACGACCATGTGCACGGCAGTGGGGCCACGACTATCTGATGGTCAGAGGGGGCATGTGAAAGGACCATTTTTACGGCAGAGCGGGCATGTGCACTTCAAGGAGAGCAGATGACACAACCATGTCCACGACAAAGAGGGCAGGTGACATGACCATGTGCATGTCAGAGAGGGTAGGAGACATGACCATGTGCACGTCAGAGAGGGGAGGTGACAAAACCATGTGCACATCAGAGGGGTCAGGTGACACGACCATGAGCACGTCAGAGGGGGCAAGTTTCACGACCATCTGCATGTCAGTGGGGCAGGTGACACGACCATCTGCACGTCAGATGGGCCGTTCACACGACCATGTGCATGACAGAGGGGGCAGGTGACACGACCGTCTTCAAGTCAGAGTGGTCAGGCCACACGACCATCTGCACGTCAGAGGGTGCACATGACACGACCATGTGCACGTCAGAGGGAGCAGGTGACACCACCATGTGCACATCAAAGAGAGCAGGTGACACGACCATATGCACGTCAGAGAGGGCAGGTGACATGATCATCAGCTCGTCAGAGAGGACAGGTGGCACGATCATTTGTACGTCAGAGGCGTCAGGTGACACGATCATCTGCACGTCAGATGGGGCAGATGACACGACCATCTTTATGGCAGGGGGGCAGGTGTCACTACCATGTTCATGTCAAAGAGGGCAGGTGACACGACCATCTGCAGGTAAGAGGGGGCCGGGTACACGACCATCTGCACGTCAGAGGGGGCAGGTGACATGACGATTTAATGGAAGAGAGGGCAGGTGACACGACCATGTGTACGTCAAAGATGGCAGGTCACACGACCATCGGCACGTCAGAGGGGGAAGGTGACACAAAAATCTGCTCGTCCTAGGGGGCAAATGACACGACCATCTTTATGGCAGAGAGGACAGGACCATATGCACGTCAGATGTTACCGGTAACATTACCAGCTGCACATCAGAGGGGAAGGTGA